AATCTCTTCTTCTTCTTTTACCTCACAGGGTGTCTGTTGTGGGGAGGGGAAGGGAACGGAGTCTGTAAGCCGCTCTGAGACACCTTTGGGTAGTGAAGGGCTATGGGGTATAAATCCAATCTCTTCTTCTTCTTTTACCTCACAGGGTGTCTGTTGTGGGGAGGGGAAGGGAGAGGAGTCTGTAAGCCACTCTGAGACACCTTTGTGCAGTGAAGGGCGGGGTATAAATCCAATCTCCTCCTCCTCCTCTTCTTCTTTTGTACCTTGCTTTTCCTGCAAGGATCTCACAGGAGCAGAGCTGGGATTCTCTGCTATCTCCCAGTGTTCCCTCTAAGCTGAGTGTCAGCTGGCTCACAGTTTTATAGCCTCCGGCTCACACAGTTTTCTCTTCGCTCCTGCAAGGATCTCACAGGAGCAGAGCTGGGATTCTCTGCTATCTCCCAGTGTTCCCTCTAATCTGAGTGTCAGCTGGCTCACAGTTTTATAGCCTCCAGCTCACACAGTTTTGTCTTAGTTCAGGAAGGGAGGGCTCCAGAGCAAACTTATTGATGCAGCAGCCAAATCACTCGCTCACAACTTTCATGCCAGCAGCTCCCAAAGTAGAATTTTTGCTCACAAGACTCCACAGCTTAGAGGGAGCCTTGCTCTCTCCTCACAACCATGAGGCAGGGTTGGCTTGGCTAAGAGAAAGAATCGCCCGCCCCTCCCTCCTAAAAAAAAGCATGCATCGGAGAAATGGGGGGGAAACCCATCTAGGCTGATTCTGTGTCTAGCATTTGCTCTGCATTTTCTCAACTGGGAGGACAGAGTGCAGCTCAGAACCACATTCCAATACCCTGGGGGCAATGCTGTACTGACTGCAAAGTCACCCCCGGAATGGCCATACATCTATGCAGAAGGTACCATAAAATCTAATGATCGAAGGAAGCGAAAGCGGCCTGGAGTGTAGAGGCCAGTGTTCCCTCTAAGCTGAGTTCGTGCGAGCTAGCTCACAGTTTTTTAGGCTCCGGCTCACACATTTTTGTCTTAGCTCAGGGAGGAGGGCTCCAGGGCAAACTAATCTATGCAGCAGCCAAATCGTCGCTCACAACTTTAATGCCGGTAGTTCACAAAGACTCCACAGCTTAGAGGGAACATGTGTGGAGGGTACCATAAAATCCGATGATCAAAGGGAGTGAAAGCAGCCTGCCATGCAGAGGGGAATATCTGTTCCAGCGTGGGTTTAGGGAAAAGCCAATGCAGAATCAGCCCCAGCTTAATTCAAACACCTCAGAAAACAACTGCCAAGCAACAGGACTCTTGGCTGCTTGCAGCAGACACCCAAAGCGTGACATTTTCCCCTGTATCCTAATGAGACAATCGACGGGAGTTTAAACTTTTGTGTGTCTTGTTTTGGATCGATGGCTTCAAATTCTTTGTTCGTCTCCCCAGTTCCACGGGGCGACTTCGTGCCAAGCGGGCGATTCTCCTGACCACTCTTTTTTCCCACCATGTGATATTTGAGTCCCGGATTACCAACTACGTCGAAGTGTGAAAGGAACAAATTATTTCGGTGCTCTTTAGATGCTTCCCGGACAAAAGCCGGGCAGAAAAGCCCCCTCCCAAGACGCCTGAATTCCAAGTCGCCAGCAATGGTAGCTAGGTGATTTTGGAAGCCCGAACAAACGGCTCGGTCCGAAATTGCTGCGAAACTGTAAAACACGAAGCCCCGGTCGCTGACTCGTATATCGTGATGACAAATGACCAAACGATAAATCCGGCACTGATCTGTGGGAGTGAAAAGCCCCCTCTTGCTTCCCTACCTTGCTGCCATTCAGGATCCAGTCGCTCCCGTCCTTTTTGGCAAACGTCCGCACGCCCTGCAAATCACTAAGGGGAAAAGAAATCGTGAGAGCTCGACAAAAGTGCAAGATATTTAAAAACA